TGGTAGAATTGTTGGCAAGGAAAAGGAAGAAAAACAAGGAGAATGCTGCCCAGAAGTATAAACCCGACCGGGTAGAAACCTTCACCCGGTCGGGTTTGAATTAACATTTGTAGTCTCCAGGAAATTGCTTGGCCCGGTCGGGCCATATACCTCACCCGGTCGGGTGAGACTTGACCGAAGACAACCCGACGTGCTGAAGAACACTAGAACGTGGAAAATATTTGATTCGGACCGGTACCCGGTCGGGTAGATACTCTACCCGGTCGGGTACTCGGCCAAAGGTGTTGAAAAACACCTATAAATAGCACACTTTTCCTTCACTAAAAAGAATCCCTTCTTCCATACTCTTAAGCTCAGTTTAGAATAGTATTTCTTTTATATTTTTATAGCATGTTTAGTCTCCAAATGAGGAGCTAAACTCTTCCATCTTCGTTTTGCTACTTTGAAGCTTAATGAATTTGTAAGTTGTGAGTTATTCTCTTTAATCTTCTTCCTTGAATATTAATTCTTCCTTTAAATACTATTTCTATATCAATGTTGGGGAGTGTTACTAAGATGACAATTAGTTAACATCTTGACATTAGTTATAGTAATAATTATTTCTTCCTCTACGTTAATATTGGGGAGTGTTACTAAGATGACAATTAGTTAACATCTTGATATTAATTATAGTAGGATTCATCTTCTTTAATATTCTTTCTTGAGTATTAATTAATTCCTATTCATATTTCATATTAATATTTTGAACATTACTTAAAGGATCAACTAGTTTTGTTTCATATATTAATGAATACTAGAATCGGTCGATTAATACGCTTGTTATTAATTCGGTCCTTTCATGGTAGTAAACTTGGACTATTAATGCATGCATCTCATGGTTAATAATCTAAGGGGAATTAATTATATTGATTAAACCAATAAACCGCTTGTGTTGAGGTTATCAATCTCAATCGTTTTCATCTTAAGTTTATTGCTACTATCAATTTAATATACGGCGCTTGTTCTATATTGACTCGATAGTAAGTTTTATTAATGAACGCTTCTCGTTATTAATAACTACCCTCGATGAACTGGATATACTCCTCGATTGAGTATTCGAGAGGAAGATAGTTAAAGATATAACCGGGATCGACGAACATTTCATTAAGTGGATAAAAGCAAAGCCAAGTCTTCTTCTCATTAATTAAACTCATTTAAGTCATTCATCTTAGTGTTAATTAAATCAAATCAAAACTAAACCCCCCCCATTTTGTTACTAGTTCTATAAAAAGAAAAGTATTCCTTTCCCTGTGGATACGAACCTTACTACACTATACTACGTATTAGTGTCGTATTGTATTATTACTTTGAGTGCACCTCACGACAAAGTGCACGTCAAATTTGGCGCCGTTGCCGGGGAAAGACAATTATTTTTCTTTTTATTTTATTTCAAGAAAAATCAAAAAAATTAAATAAACAAAATATAAAGAGTTCTTACTTTTTCTATTTCTGAGCTTACATGAGTATATGGTAAAAACCCGTTCTATAAACGAGCTTACTTACCAAACAAACCCCGAAATAGAACAAGCCTTCGAGAGGTTGAGAAATTTGTTTCCGCACACCCCCTCGGAGGAATCCTCAAACGCTAGCTCTAGCTCTAGCGAATCCGAAGAGTCATTCCACATGGCTCTCGAGACAAGGACCTTGAGGGAGCTCACAGCTCCAAACTTGAATCAACAACCATTATGTATTACCTTTCCTACTCTTGATGAAGGTAATACATTTGAGCTGAAATCTGGGCTCATACATTTATTGCCATCTTTCCATGGCATGAGAGGAGAAGATCCGAATAAACATCTTTCAAAGTTCCACATCGTTTGCACAAGCATGTGCCCAAACGGTGCCACAGAAGAGCAAATAAAACTGAGAGCCTTCCCATTCTCCTTGAAAGATACCGCGAAGGATTGGCTTTTCTATCTTCCTTCGGGAAGCATCAACACATGGGCACAAATGAAGAAGTGCTTCCTCGATAGGTATTATCCTGCTTCCATCTCATCTTCTCTCAAAAAGCAAATAAGCAACATCGAGCAAAAGGATGATGAATCCTTATATGAATTTTGGGAAAGATTTAAGAAGCTATGTGCTAGCTGTCCCTATCATGGCTACTCAGAACAAGACCTCATCTTATACTTTTATGATGGTCTTGTTGATGATGATAGAAGAATGGTGAACGCCGCTTGTGGAGGCGGCATTGTTAATAAAACTCCTTCACAAGCTATAAATCTTATCTCGGAATTGGCCGAGAACTCACGGCAATTCGGTCGCAGATCCTCAACTCGTAGAGTTGCCGCGGCAGAATCGACATCATCACTGGAGAGTCAAGTTGCCGGCTTGACTTCCTTGGTTAAGGATTTCCTCTTAAAATCCAAGACCCAAGAAGTCAAGGTCTGCGGCATTTGTACGCAACAAGGGCATCCCACTGACTCATGCCCGACTCTTCAAGAAAACGATACAGAGCAAGTCAATGCCTTGGGTTTCCAAGGCCACCAACAAAGGAGGTACGATCCATTCTCAAACTCTTACAACCCTGGATTAAGAGATCATCCAAACTTGAGGTATGGAAACTCCCAACAATCCAAACCATCTTCTCAACCATCTTTTGACAATCAAGGTTCAAACTCTCAATCTAATATGTCAACGGATGAAATGATACGAGCTTTGACTTCAAACATGGTTACCATGCAACAAAGCATGGGTCAATTTCAACAAACCATGATACAATTCCAACATGAAACGAAGTCAAGCATTAAATATTTGGAAACCCAAGTTAGCCAAATTTCAAATGCCGTAAGCCGTCTTGAAGCAAAGGACTCGGGTAAACTCACATCTCAAACGGAGCAAAACCCGAGACAACATGTGAATGCAATCATGTTGAAGGGGGTAGAAAAAAATGACCAAGAGATCAAGGAGGTTGATCATGGAGAAGAAGCTCAATCTGAGGAGGGAACCACAAAGGCGAAACTTCCACCATATTCATCGTATGAACCAGTAGCCCCATTTCCCGAGGCACTGATGGAGACAAGGAAGCTGGAGAAAGATACTGACATCTATGAGACATTCGCCAAGTGCGAGGTAAACATTCCGCTCCTTAACTCAATTAAAAATGTTCCCCGTTTTGCTAAATTTTTAAAAGAATTATGCAAAACAAAACGAAAGGATAAGTCAAAAGAAAAACAAGAGGTCAAGGTTAGTGAACATGTATCGGCTCTATTTCAAAAGAAACTTCCCGAAAAATGTAGCGACCCGGGCATGTTCACCATACCTTGCAAGATAGGGGACACCGCATTTTCTAAAGCCTTGTTGGATTTAGGGGCATCTATAAATGTCATTCCTTACTCTGTTTATAAATCCCTACAACTCGGCCCACTACATCAAACAGGTGTAGTGATTCAACTAGCGGATCATTCTAATACTTACCCGAAGGGTGTAATAGAAGATGTGCTAGTAGAAGTAGAAAATATGGTTTTTCCTGTTGACTTCTATGTCCTTGAAATGGGAAATGATGACCAAACAACACCCATCCTTTTGGGTAGACCCTTCTTAAAGACCGCAAAAACAAAAATTGACGTGTCTAGTGGTTCATTAACTTTAGAGTTCGATGACCAAAAAGTAGAGTTCAACATCTTTGACTCTACGAAAAAACAAATTAAAGCCCAATCTCGTTGTTCTTTAACTGTTTTTGGACCACAAGAACCAAAGTCTTTGAAGGAATCTAATAAAATCCCAATTTTTCAAAAAAATAAGAATAGGGAATCATCTGCGGTTGAGGAGGCAATAAAAACAAAAATTCGACCTTACTGGAAAAGGTCGAAAAACAAAATGAGTACAAGGCCAAACAAAATTGTTCACGATCCCACTTAAAATAGAAAATAAAATAAAAATAACGTCGTGCCGCGACGTTAAATCAAGCGCTTCTTGGGAGGCAACCCAAGTTTGTATTTTGAGCATTTTCATTTATTTTTGTGTGCGAGAAAACCTAAATAAAAAAAAAAAATAAAAAAAAAAAATTTATATAAGGCCAGACCCGGCCGGGTAATTTTTTAAAACCCGGTCGGATCTAGCACAGAAATCTCTCACCAGCCCTCCACCCGACCGAAACAAGCTACATTTTCAAAAAAAAAAATTGAAATTACCCGACCGGGTAACTCCAACACACCCGGCCGGGTACCTAAAGTTTTTTTGGTACCAGACCACTGCTTTGCAAATCCGGCCGGGTCAAACCACATACCCGGCCGGACAAAAAAATAAAATCAAATAGTCAAAATTAACTAATACCCGACCGGGTACTTTATTTCACCCGGCCGGGTATTCATTCTAGTGGCTACTGGATAGGCGGGATCGAAAGGCCCGACCGGGTCTATTAACCCACCCGACCGGGTGAACGGGAAAACACCCCTATACCAGGTCGGGCTACCCTCTTCCTCTCCCAATCTTCTTCTTCTTCCTACGAACCAACCCCCAAAATCCCCCATTTTTACACACCAAAAGCTTCGAATCTACCCCATTTCTCCACCAAATCAATCAAATAAAATCATTTTCTTCATCTCCCATTCACCCTCTTCCACTCTATACCCATAAATCCATCTCAAATCCACCAATTACACCAAACCCACAAAACCCTACCCCAAACTCGAAAATCCCCATTTTTGGGCATTCAAGGTCCAAAATCAAGCCCAAAATTCCCAACCAATATCATATCTTTGTTCTCCTCACCATTCTCTTCCAAACCATACCCATAAAAAATCTCCAAAATTCACCCTAGCCAAAAGTCCGAAAATCCTTCAAGAAAAACCAAATCAAGTTCAATGGCTCCAAGAAAATCAAAAGGCTCTTCCTCAAGGGGTAACCGACCTATACCACCGGTGCCGGGCTACGAGAATGTGGATTTGGCTACGGAGGGTCAAAGGGAAAGCTTCATCAACCAAACAAAGAGGGAGGTAAAACAATCCCATTTCATGTGTTTAACTACTCTAGCATTACTGTGGATTGATGTTGTGATGCGTGACATATTTGCGAGAATTGGAATGACTAGAATATTTGGAATGCAATATGTTACATATCCTCATTTGGTGTATGAATTTTTTAGCTCGTTTGCGTATACGAAAGATGTGGATGATCATGCAAATGACATCATCACCTTTCGTTTACTAAATGAAAATCGTTCATTAACCAAAAGGGAATTTGCTCAACACTTTGGCCTCCCATTATTTGATGAAGCACGTACATATGATTCTCTTGTGGGATATGAGTTGTGGAAGAGAATGACAGGAAAACCTGTGGTTGATCTTTCTAAGCTGAGCGTGAACCGTGTGCAACATCCGGTCTTCCGACTATTCTTAAAATTTTGCTCAAATTGTTTTCTCGGAAGACCAAATAATCATCACACACGGATTTGGGATGTGTGCGTTCTAGCACAAGCTGTTTTGCCTGGCCCGGATCAAGTTGATGTTGCCACCATCTTATGGACCCATTTCTACAACGTGGCAACATCAACAGGACCAATTGTGATGGGGGGCCTCATCACACATATAGCCACTTTATATGGTTTTGTAGACCACGGCCCCATCACCTCAAGACAACTTATTTGCACTGAATGGCTTGTAACAAAGACCCTAGACTTGGTATCCTCTCACAAAACACCAACCGGGGCACAAGTCTATAATTGGCGCATCCTCCCACGCACCTCCATCTACCTCCAAATACCCTCGGCCGACGTCCCCCTGGATATCATCGATCACCAAATCGGGGATGGTCATCACTATTGTCTTCCCGGGGCAATCCCGGATCATTATGAAGAACCCATCCAAAATGAAGATGATGAAGAACCACCAATCATACCCGAACAACCCCCACTAATGCCTGAACAACCACAACCTCAAGCTTTTCACTACACACCTTTCGAGCAACAAATGCTCGATAACATGGCCATGCTCAACAACAACTACACCCAACTTCGGAATGAAGTTGGATTATATCGTACGGAGCACAGGCAGAGCTTTGAGAGGATGGAGGAGCAGCGGCAGGCAGACTGGCGTAGATATGAGGAAGACCGCCGGAGAGATGAGGAGGACCTACGGAGGACCTATGGTCCTATTTATTCCTATATGGCGCATCAGGGTGGATTTGCATCTATGACCACTCCCCCTCCCGCACCCTCTTGGTATGATCCCACTGCATGGGGTTATTTTGGAGGCTCGAGTTCCGGTGGTGGAGGCGATGATGGTGGTTATGGCGGTGATCACATGGATGAGGACAGACACCATGGTGGCGGTATGGGCGGGCACTAGGGACAGTGCAATGACTCAGCTGGGGGGAGACTGTTCTGGTAAGCTTACATTCACACTCTTTATTTTCTTTAAAAAAAAAAAAACTTGTTAAGTTGAAAACCCACAAAGGGCAACTTAAGCAAAAATAAGCAAAAATAAGAGTGAGTTTGTGAGGATTAAAACAGAAAAATGTGGGAAGCTGGGATGAAAACCCGAAAGGGCACCTAGGCAAAAATGAGAGAATGAGAGAAATTATTTCTTTTTGACTTTGCAGGATCCTAAGGGTGATGATGAAAGGGAGTTCGTTGGTGAGAGAACCGATTTCGAAGACCTCTTGATGTTGGGGATATTTTTTGTAATCATTCTGCTTCTAGATACACTTTATGGTGGTTGTTTTGATACTGTTGTTTTGAAGACTTCATGGACATGATTTATTTTACTCGAGACGAGTAAAAGTTCAAGTGTGGGGGTATTTGATATGCACTAGTTAGTAGTGCATAAATGTGTATTTTTATATCTTGTTTTGTGTGGATTGTTTACCATTTGTGTGTAGTTGTAAACATTTGTTTACTTTTTATTTGCAAGTGTTTTTAGCTTTTATTTGTGGGTTAGGAAGTTTTGGTAGAATTGTTGGCAAGGAAAAGGAAGAAAAACAAGGAGAATGCTGCCCAGAAGTATAAACCCGACCGGGTAGAAACCTTCACCCGGTCGGGTTTGAATTAACATTTGTAGTCTCCAGGAAATTGCTTGGCCCGGTCGGGCCCTATACCTCACTCGGTCGGGTGAGACTTGACCGAAGACAACCCGACGTGCTGAAGAACACTAGAACGTGGAAAATATTTGATTCGGACCGGTACGTGACGTGCACTTTGTCGTGGTGTGCAATCAAAATAAATATAATACAACAAATATACGTAGTATATTGAAGTAAGGTTCGTATCCGCAGGGAAAGGAATACTTCTCTTTTTATAAACTAATAAATAAAGGGGGGGGGGGTTTGATTGAATGATTTAATTAAAATTGAACACGAAGATGAACGAGTTATGTGGTTTAATTAATGAGAAGAAGACTTGGTTTTGCTTTTATCCACTTAATGAAATGTTCGTCGATCCCGGTTATATCTTTAACTATCTTCCTCTCGAATACTCAATCGAGGAGTATATCCAGTTCATCGAGGGTAGTTATTAATAACGAGAAGCGTTCATTAATAAACTTACTATCGAGTCAATATAGAACAAGCGCCGTATATTAACTTGATAGTAGCAATAAACTTAAGATGAAAACGATTGAGATTGATAACCTCAACACAAGCGGTTTATTGGTTTAATCAATATAATTAATTCCCCTTAGATTATTAACCATGAGATGCATGCATTAATAATCCAAGTTTACTACCATGAAAGGACCGAATTAATAACAAGCGTATTAATCGACCGATTCTAGTATTAATTAATATATGAAACAAAACTAGTTGATCCTTTAAGTAATGTTCAAAATATTAATATGAAATATGAATAGGAATTAATTAATACTCAAGAAAGAATATTAAAGAAGATGAATCCTACTATAGTTAATATCAAGATGTTAACTAATTGTCATCTTAGTAACACTCCCCAATATTAACGTAGAGGAAGAAATAATTATTACTATAACTAATGTCAAGATGTTAACTAATTGTCATCTTAGTAACACTCCCCAACATTGATATAGAAATAGTATTTAAAGGAAGAATTAATATTCAAGGAAGAAGATTAAAGAGAATAACTCACAACTTACAAATTCATTAAGCTTCAAAGTAGCAAAACCAAGATGGAAGAGTTTAGCTCCTCATTTGGAGACTAAACATGCTATAAAAATATAAAAGAAATACTATTCTAAACTGAGCTTAAGAGTATGGAAGAAGGGATGTTTTTTTTATGAAGGAAAATGGGGCTATTTATAGGTGTTTTTCAACACCTTTGGCCGGGTACCCGACCGGGTAAAGTGCCCACCCGACCGGGTGCATGTCAAAATCAAATATCCTACACGTTCTGGCGATCTTCGGCACGTTCTGGTGTTCCGGGTCAAGTCGGACCCGACCGGGTGAAATACCTCACCCGACCGGGTGATGTAATTTCCTGAGTACCTGCGTCTGTTAAATCAGACCCGACCGGGTGAAGTGTCTGACCCGGCCGGGTCTGTGCACCTGGATATTTTTCTTCTTCTTTTCACTTCTTTTCCTTGCCAATAACTCTACTACTACTTTACAACTTACTAAAAATGATTAAAATCAATTACAAACAAATGAAGATGATTGCTTAAAAACTAACTAAAAACGGTAAACAATCCACACAGAATAGATATAAAAACACACATTTATGCACTACAAACTAGTGCATATCAAATACCCCCACACTTGAATCTTTACTCGTCTCGAGTAAATGCAATCCAGAAAATCCTCAAATGATAATATCATCATCCATCACAAAGTGTTTTTAGAACCAAGATAATCACAAAGTATCCCCAAACATAAAAAGAATACATCAAGGGGTCTTCAATTTCTTTTTCCTCATGCAATGAACTTCTTTTAGTAACCACCCTTAGGATCCTGCAAAATCAAAAGAAATAATTTCTCTCATTCTCTCATTTTGCCTAGGTGCCCTTTCGGGTTTTCAACCCAGCTTCCCACATTTTTCTTCAATAAATCTCACAGACTCACTCTTATTTTTGCTTTATTTTTGCTTAAGCTGCCCTTTGTGGGTTTTCAACTTAACAAGCTGTTTTTTTTTTTTTTTTTTTTTTTTTTTACACACATTTAAAGCAAGAGTCAAGAGTATGAATGTGAGCATACCGGATAGATCTCCCCCACCGCTAGTCCATGGCACAGTCCCTAGTGCCCGCCCGCATCTCCGCCATCATAGAATCCTCCATAGCCCTGGTAGCCCCCAAAGTGTGCATCCTCATCCATGTGATCACCACCGTAGCCGTCGTCCCCGCCTCCACCACTAGAGCTCGACCCGCCAAAATAACCCCATTCAGTGGGGTTATACCATGAAGGTGCCGGAGGAGGAGTAGTCATAGCAGCAAAGGCACCCTGATGTGCTACGTAGGAGTAGATAGGGCCAAAAGTCCTCCTTTGGTCCTCCTGATCTCTCCGCCGATCTTCTTCGTATCTCCGCCAGTCTGCTTGCCGTTGCTCCTCGATCCTCTTATAGCTCTGTCTTTGCTCAGTTCTATACGAAACAACTTCCTCCCGAAGTTGAGTGTAGTTAAGGTTTAGAGCATTCATGCTATTTAGCATTTCTTGCTCAAATGGTGAATATTGGTGAGCATTGGGTTGTGGTTGAGGTTGTTCAGGAATGAGGGGTGGTGGTTCATGCGCAGGCTGATCTTGTTGGGGTTGTTCTTGTTGGTAGTGGAGTGGTATTCTCCCAGGGAGACAATAGTGGTGTCCATCACCAATTTGGTGATTCAAAAGGTCCAAAGGGAGGTCGGCTGAGGGTATTTGTGTGTAAATAGGATGTGGTGGATCAATTAACCAATTGTAGATATCTACCCCACCGGGTGTTTTATGAGAAAAGACAATATCTTTGGTATTTTTCAGGAGCCATGATGTGCAAACAAGCTGTGCTGAGGTAATGGGGCCTGGGTCTACAAAGCCATAGAGTGTGGCTAAATGTGTAATCAAGCCCCCTACCCTAATAGTTCCCGTGGAAGTTGCCACTGTCTTGAAGTGATCCCATAGAATGGAGGCAACATCCACGTGATCCGGACCTGGTAAAACAGCTTGTCCAAGAATACAAACATCCCAGACCCTTGTGTGATGGTTATTTGGTCTTCCGAGAAAACAGTTTGACAAAAATTTCAAGAAAATTCGGAAGACCGGATGTTGTACACGATTCACACTAAGGTGTCTAAGCTCCACATCCACCTGCCCTGTCATCCTTTGCCACATTTCCACACCCACAAAAGTGTCATGTTCACGTTCTTCATTGAACAAGGGGAGACCAAAGTGTTGGGCAAACTCCCGCTTGGTCAATGAACGGTTTTCATTCAACAAACGAAATGTGATTCTACTTTCAGCATGATCATCAACATTTGCTATTTGCTTAAATGAGCTAAAGAATTCATACACCAAATGTGGATAGGTAACATATTGCATCTCAAAAATCCTAAGCATCCCAATGTTGGTGAAAATCTCACGCATAATCGCATCAAGCATGAATGACAATAGCGTAGTAATGCATATAAAACGGGATTGTTTTACCTCCCGTTTGATTTGCTCTATGAAGCGCTTTTTGTGGACCTCGGTGTTAAACTTCACACTCTCAAAACCGGGAACGGGTGCAATCTCTTGGTTACCCCTTGAGGAAGATGCTTTGGACTTTTTAGGAGCCATGAAGTAGATTTTTTTTGGATTTTTTTTTACTTGTTATTTTCGGACTTGGGTGTTGGGGGGTTTGGAACTTTGGATTTTTGGTGGGTTTTGGGTATTTTGGGTTTGTGAGAGTGGAGGGGATTATTATTAGGAGAAGAAATTGGAATTTCTTGGGATTTTTAGGGAAAAATTCGGACTTTGAAGATGGGGGGTTAGGGTTTCGGATTTTGTGTATGAGTGGATTTGGGTGGGATTTTTGGGTGTAGGATGGAAGAGGGTGTTGAGGAGATGAAGAAAATGTGTTTAGTTGATGGATTTGGTGGAGAAATGGGGAGGAATCGAAGCTTTGAGATGCGAAAATGGAGGTTTTGAGGGGTGTGGTTCGAATGGGGAAGAAAGGAAATGGGGAAGAAAGAAGATTGCCGATCTGTTTAACTGTAAAAACCCGATCACCCGGCCGGGTGGGGTGGTAGGACCCGGTCGGGCTTAAGCAGAGCTTATCCAGTGAGTTTTTTTCAAAATGGCCCGGCCGGGTGAAATAAGTGGCCCGGTCGGGTCTAACTCCGTGCTATCCAGAAACTTTTTAAGCAAAACACCCGGCCGGGTGTATGGAGTGGACCCGGTCGGGTTTGGTGTTCCAGTTTTTTTTTATTTTTTATTTTTTTTTTTGAAAGGGTTTTCTCACACATACAAAAATAAAAATAATTAAAATACAAACTTGGGTTGCCTCCCAAGAAGCGCTTGATTTAATGTCGCGGCACGACGTTATTTTTATTTTATTTTCTGTTTCAAGTGGGATCGTGAATATCCCTTTTTTCCTGCTTCAAAGCCCTGTTTGGCCATGTTTCAATTTTAGTTTTCGGCCTTTTCCAGTAAGGCCGAACTTTCTTCCTAGTTACCACCTCAATAGTAGGTGGTTTTCCCTTCAAAATAGATTTTTTGGGTTCTTCCTCAACAAAAATATTCAGTGTTGGTGGTTCAAAAACGTTTAAAGAACAAAGAGATTGATTTTTAATTTGTTTTTTAGTAGAATCAAAGATGTTGAATTCTACTTTTTGGTTAT